GTTCTTCAAGCAATTGGTTCGTAATGTAAATGAACATCGCAACTTTGTGTTCACACATTGTTAGTTGGCATTAAAAAAAGATTTGTCGGTGACTTCGGATGGAGTGCATTCGACGAAGTATCGATCGATGTTTCTGTATCACATATTTAGTATCTAACCATTGGTGAAGTCCTTTTCAATGGATTCAATTTGGTATGAAACATTTGTAGGACGTTGAATGAGACGAATATTTGCCGCTTCGATAACCATACGATGCGCATTCAATTTTATTTCAGTTACCCTTTTCAATACCTCAAAGTCGATCTGCAAATCAACAAAACTTCGTTATTAGTGCACATAAACTGGTACAAATGAAGTTAGTATTGCTATTATTATCGCTATCAATGCCATTGCATGCTATGAACCATACAAATCTTGAAAACAAATCCATATCTAAGCAGGCATTGCGGATAATCATCAAGTACAACGGATTTGATGATCTTTTGATCCATTCTAGATCATTCTCCAGATTATTTATAAGCTTTGTTAGGAATTAAGTGTTCGTTCGGATTTCATACTAACCATGGATGAGACATGAACATTGTTGCCATATACTTGTTCAATGTCAAAATCGTGATCAGTTCATGATTTAAATGAATCATTCATTGGATATTGTTACACAGTGTCGTTGAATATGAATGCTGTTGCTATCATTATTAAATATTTTATGAGTAATTGCATACTTCCATTGTTACACTATAGGAATTGACAAATCTCATCTAGCGAATCGATTTGCTGACTAACTTACATCAACAGATCCATCGAATGTTAGATTTTTGTACCACTCATATTTGGCCGAGCTGGGAAAATACGGTCGTACTTTGACGTGATATAAAGTTGGTTTGAAAGTCTCTTTTGGCAAACGATCTAGCCAGTATTCGACATCCTGCGATCCTGGTGCGAAGTGATCGTAGAATATTCTAGCTGTAAACGGAACAGAATCACTGATACCGTCTTGAAAACTGTGAACACTTCATTGAAGTTACCGCTGATTGGTCACTTCACTTGAAAACCGCTAAAGCAGTCGCTTCTATCGTAATCAAACGTGTCTGCTCACCTTGGTCTTAGCTCTATGATTGGTTTCACCTAGTTCAAAACCATCCATTCAGAATTTCAGACCACTATTTGAGCTACTTATATAGTCACTCACTAGATTGGCCGTGATTGATTCACGATGATATCTTTACAATATTTCAAAGATACTTTCAATCGCAACTGCAAATAACGTACAGATATGCGGAAAATGCTTCTGCCACCATTCTACTTGCGCTGACGTTTGATTGTGATATTTTTCGATGATTTCTCTCTTTTCATTGGTGGATTTTTGATCTAAGTGCAGGTTAGGCAAGTTTGCTTCCATTTTTTGTTGCAGCTTCACATACTGAAATCAATGGAAACTTCTTAGTTGCCGTCTTCATCAAAATCAAATTCACAGAACATCGATTAGACCAAACTGACTGACTGAAATGTGACAATGCGGTGAATGTATTCAGCATTCGGAACATTCATTAGTTTAAAGTAATTATTGCACTAAAAAAAATTCAGATAGAATTGTGATTGATAGTTAGAACACATGCTATAAATTTACATCGCACAGTTGATACTTATTCTCAATATTATGATGATTCTCAGTCACAATTACGACACTCAGATAATGTATGATTTGATAATGATCCGAGATCGATAGAGACCTACCTGATCGAATCGACCTTTCGAGTACCAAGTCGACGTCATCCACTTCAAGTATTCTTCGAAATTGTCTGAGCTCATTATTTCAG